AAAGATGAAGAAAAAAAATCCCTTTTTGTTTTGTAACCTATATATGCAGTCATGTGAAAAAGAAAGTGTATTCTTGAAGGCTTTCACAGGTGGGATCCGATGGTTGTTGGTTTTCTGGGCTGTTTGGCCGTGTTCTTAAGGTTTTATGCATCAAGACATAATATAAATCATCTGATCCTTCGGAGGTCTGAAAATTAGGTAAATACCACCTCAGATAAACAACAATACATGATATATTACACTGTGTCATGATGTATTTCACAAAAAATAAGGGCAAAATGGAGAAGCCATGTGTGAAAAACGAAGTACAGTGGTGCCTCGCATAGCGATTGCTCCGTTTAATGGAGAAATCGCTTAGCGATGCTGTTTTTGCGATCGCAAAAGCAATCTCTTAGCGATGGCCCCTATGGGGAAAATTCACTTTGCGATGATCGCGGGGAAGCGATCATCCCAAACGCCCCATTTTCGCCAGCTGATCGGTGGGGCCTTTGCGATGATCGCGAGGAAGCAATCATCGCAAAGGCCCCACTGATCAGCTGTGCTTCGTCTCTCTCTCCACACCTCACAGCTCTGCGAGGGGTGGAGAGAGAGAGAGAGAGAGAGACGAAGCACAGCTGATCGGCGGGGCCTTTGCGATGATCACGGGGAAGCCCCGCCGATCAGCTGGCGAAAATGGGGCGTTTGGGATGATCGCTTCCCCGCGCCAGCTGATCGGCGGTTCCAAGATGGCCACCTGCTGTGTTGCCTCGCTTTAGAGGCACCGAAAATGGCCACCACAATGGAGGATTTTCGCTTAAGGTTAGTTTAGGAGCCCATAGGAACGCATTGAAGGGGTTTCAATGCGTTTCTATGGGCTTTTTTAAATCGCTCAGCGACGAAATCGCTTAGCAGCGATTTTTGCTGCACGGATTAACGTCGCTAAGCGAGGCACCACTGTACAGCCTTACTGCTTTCATAGGAATTAACAGGCTAAATAGCAAACAGGTGCTGCTAATCAAATGCCCTTGAGTAATTTGATCATCAGCAAATAGGCCCACCTCTATGAAAGCAGTGGTTTTAATAGTTTTCTGATCTGGAACATTGCCAAGGTGGAAAAACATCCGCAGTGATCATGGAGAAGCAATTGTTGTTGCCCATCAATTTGGGAAGGGTTGTAAGGCCATTTCCAAACAATGTAAAGTCCATCATTCTACAGTGAGAAAGATTATTTACAAGTGAATTTACAAGCAAATTCACCCAAGGTCAGACTGTACAATGCTTGGAGAAATTACATCTTTTAATATTTTTTTACTTTATGAACAAAAGTAATTTTAGTATTTGCTTCCTTCAATGGTATGTGGAAAAAGTTGGAATCCCCCCCCCCCCAGTTTCCTACAAAGTTTTTATTAGAAGTCAGAAGGGCATGCCCATCTTGATATATTTTAAACACCTGAATAAAGTCAGACAAAAAGGAACTTCATAGACTTGTTTGACTTTCTCAGTTTCACCTATAACATGTGATAGAATATGTGGTCTTTGCTGATAGTTGATCTGGACCTTACTGACAGTCTATGCTGAACTCTGAAGAGTATAACCAGGAACGTGGGGAAGCTAGTCTAGTTTATTCAGCAGAAATAGTATGGAGACTTTAGTTATGGATGTTTTTGTTTCATAACTGTTTTATAACATTTTCCCATGGGCAAAATCATTTTTGGTTTTTTTGTTTAGTCTTCTGTTATAGCCCTGTTTTCTCCCAGTTGGAGTTTATATTCAGTTTTGGTTGCTGCGAGTGAAGGGTGCAGTTGTTACATGCTGCCAAGTCATTTCTGACTTACAATGACTCTTTCAAGGATTTCTTAGGTGCAGAGTATTCAGAAATGGTTTACTGTTCCTTTCTGGGGGCATTTGCCTAAGGCCAATATGTTGGCGTTTCTTCTATAAGACAGAGCAATGAATCATACTCTTGACTGTGCATGGGATTTTGTAATCTGAGGATTTATAGTCAAATAATTTTCCAGAACCTCACCAGCAGAATTATGAAGAAGAAAGTCCTCAGGGTGGATTTGATTTAAATCAAATTAGCTTGAATCACAAATTAAATAATGATTTACATTTTTTTAAATCAGATTTTTCATGATTTAAATTAAAAAATCAATTTGATTATCCACTGTGAGAGCAGCCTTCTCTACCTCCATGCTGTTCTTGTGTTGCTGCTTCTTCAGATGGTAAGGCAGGTCCCCACTGCACAGCAGGAGTCCCAAGGATTTCTGCAAACCGTGGAAGGTTACATCCTGATGCCCGTTACATTATGTAGAATCAGTCTCCAAAGAAACTACCTTTTCTGTGGACTTGTGTGAGTTGCAAAGAGGCTGCTATCACTCCTTGTTTGGGGTATTTTACTCCAGTAGTTATGTATGGGATGTTCTGGGCAAATTAGTCCTCAAGTTCCAGTTGTCCAGTCCCTACTCTTGACTCCTAGTTCCATAGCCAGGCGCTCCATTTCACTTTCCAGGAAAAGACAATATTGCAACTTAACATGAGACGATATAGATTTGCAAGATCTGAGGAGAAATATTAATGATATGACATTTTGAAGGTCATTAACTCATACAGTCACTTGCCATCAGAAGTGATTTGATAGCATGTAACATATTTGGAAGGTTTGATTAAAATTATCAAACAATTGTATAATGAAAATGGTTGAGACTATGTCAGGATATAGGCACAAAACGTGTGCTAACATTAAGTATGACCATGTCTAGCCCCAAAGAAAAAAACAGTAATTTCACAGCTTAAATAAGCAAGCTACTGAATATTTGTTCTCTAATCTTTTAAATACATCTTTTGCAACCATATGCAGAATCGCATTGCAAGCACAAGTTCCTGTTTGGCCAGGAAGAAATTGAACATTCAATTGGGTCTTGATTGGCAGGTTCAGCTATTCAGATTGCCCTTGACTTGGAGCTAATTTCCCCTTTGAAAACTTTTGTCAGAATTCTAGTCTCAGAAATGTTTACAGAAAACACTCAGTGTTGGATAAGCTCAAATGCTGTTCTTTTGTAATGCAGAAATACTCTGAATATGCTTTCTAAATTTGTATGCTAATTCCCTGGAGATATATGGCAAAGCGTCCACTTTTCTGGAAAAAGTACTACATTCTTTAAAGCAAATCTCTTTTTTAGACTCTTCAAAGAAAATCTGTTATTTGACTCTCTTTCCATGAGCTTTAATAGCCTTAAGCTATCCAAATATCTCCCTTCCAGGTCATGAAGCTGCAGTAAGGCTTCTACTTTGTAAAGTCCTTGCTGATAAGCCAGTTCCAAGCATGTGATAAATAATCACTGTTTCTCCTTTTTGAACTGGTTTTGGGGTCACAGACTGTAGACCTTGGGACCTAGTACAGTGGTGCCTTGCACAACGGGTGCCTCACACAACGATGAATTCACACAACGATGCCTTTTTCTGTTAAATTTGCCGCCTCACACAACGATGTTTCCTATGGGGAATTTTCACACAACGATGCCTCTTTCTCGCTCCTGTAAAAGTGTCTTACAATGTTTGGAACCTGTTTTAAACCTGCAATGGTTAGCCCATTTAAAACAGGCTTCAAACAGTTTTAAGACACTTTTACAGGAGCGAAAAGGGGCATCGGAAAGAGCTCTTTGATCTCTGTTTCCCTTTTAAAGCTCTTTCCGATGCCCCTTTTCACTCCTGTAAAAGTGTCTTAACACTTCGTTAATTTGTGGTGATTTTTTGTTTTTCCCCTCATTGAAATGCATGGAGTTCAATGAGGGAAAAAACAAAAAATCACCACAAATTAACGAAGTGTCAGAACAACACCAAAATAAGTTTGCATAGGTTTCAGGAGGTGGGCTAACCATTGCAAGCATTTAAAACAGGTTCCAAACATTGTAAGACACTTTTACAGGAGCGAAAAAGGACTTCGCAAAGCCATTGAAATGCATAGAGTCGGCTTCAATGCATTTCAATTGGGGAACCGGGTTTCACTCAACGATGTTTCCTATGGGGATTTTCGCTCAAGGACGGCAGTCCGTTCCAATTGGAACGGATTAACCGGTTTTCAATGCATTCCTATGAGAAATGGTGTTTCACAGAACGATGTTTCACACAACGTTGATTTTTTTGGAACCAATTAACATCGTTGTGCGAGGCACCACTGTATAGATCCCAAAGTCACTGTGACAACTAGAGACATCCGCCTGCACAGGTGGCTGGCCCAATTAACTTCTACCCCCGGAACCCACCAGACTACTTACCGCACAGTCGGTGGTGTAATCTTCGGCTCTCCAACTGCAGCAGTAGCCTGGCTGGCTCAGTCCCACTTCCTTGCTTGCCCAGCCATTTCAGCAAAGGTGTGGGAGGACAAGTCTCCCTGCTCAGCTCCAGAGTGGCTGGGTGAGCAGGGAGGCAGGTCTGTGGCCACGGGGCTACTGCCACAATTGGGGCACTGAAGATTATGCTGGCCATGTGCTCTGGGCAGTAAGTGGTCCACTGGGCTCTGGGGGTGGGTTTTAATTGGTCTGGCCACCTGTCCTAGTGGGCTTTGTGTTCATACACGAATAGGAAGCCCCAATCTCTAGTGACAAGACTTTCCACTCAGTAGAAATTTGGCAATATCAGGACCTTTGTCTTTAGGTGTATCTGCCCCCTACATATATCAGGAACTTCAGTGCCAAAAATATCTCCCCTGGGGACCATTTTGCAGGTGCTTGGGTTACCAGGTGGTAGGGATTTATTTCAGGTAACTACTTGAAGGAGATAAAGGCTCGGTTGAACCAAAGAAATGAATTTGTAGATATCATTGTTTATCTTCTACTGTCTCATGAATGGATGACTTGCTGGAATTATTATCTACCTTTTAGTAAGAATCTAGATGTTTAAAATCCTATTCCCCATAATATTATTTTCTGTATGGGCAACGTATCAAATTATATCTTGCCTATTTTCTTTGATGTAGATTCACCCATGCTAACCATTGCCTTTTGTTTTTTATGTTCCAGGAGACAAAGATGGCAGCAAAGTGACCACAGTGGTAGCTACCCCTGGACAGGGTCCAGACAGGCCTCAAGAAGTTAGTTATACGGACACCAAAGTGATTGGAAATGGATCTTTTGGTGTTGTGTATCAAGCCAAACTTTGTGATTCTGGAGAACTGGTTGCTATTAAAAAAGTTCTGCAAGACAAGAGATTTAAGGTGAGAAAAAAAGAGAACATATTCGATCTGAACTTCTATGTCACTGCTTGTTGATTCCGTTTTTCTAGTCTGTGTGTTGTATACAGTACAGTGGTGCCCCGTATAGCGAGGTTAATCCGTTCCGGATTAACCCTCGCTATACAGAATCATCGCTAAACGGGTAGGGGAAATGTATTGGAACGCATTAAACTTTGTTTAATGCGTTCCAATACCTTTGTTACTTACCCGTTCAGCGAGGATTCCAGGTGCCGGCAGCCATTTTCGCGCCTTCGCTCAGCGAGGGCAGGGCGCGAAAACGGCTGCCGGTAGCCATTTCCGGGCTTCCGGCGGCCATTTTGCGACCGCCAATCAGCTGTTCGGCGGCTCCAAAATGGCCGCCACAATACCCAATCTTCGCAATGCGGGTTTTCCCCATTGCGAAGATCGGGTATGTTTCCGTATAGCGATCCCGAAAAAGGGATCGCTATACGGAAACATCGCTATACGGTGCACTCGTTAAGCGAGGCACCACTGTATTTTGTTATTTCACAGATACAATTTTAATTTTGTGCCAGTTAGTAGGAAGATGAAATTCTGACTTAAAAAAACAAGTGTAAAATGTTTCGCTTTAATTGTGTAGCTTACCTGTTATGATTATATGATCAGGCTAGCAGTCGTGTAATGAGAGATTTCTTTGTTATCTACTCTGTAGGTAGGGAAGAACCCTGTAAGGAATATGCTCTTTATTTTTGGTAGCCTGTCAATTTTGCTTTCTTTTTACAAAACAGGCTTAAATTGCAGTATACTTTGTGAGTTGCTATTAAAGATGGGGGTATTCACATTTGTATACAAATACGAATATCCCCGCACAGCTGGATTTCACTAGGGGCTGGCCCCTGTGACCAGCCTGTCCACTCATGTGTCCAGCGGCGGTGGCGGCAGCCTCGCTCATCCTTCCAGTCGTTCCCGGAGTTCCACTTTCTTCCTGCTCGGCTAGTGACTCAGCAGCCATGCAGGGAGAGTCATCCTCCCTCCCACTGCCTGGAGTAGCCAGGCGAGCAGGAAGAGAGTGGAGCTCCAGGAGCGATTGGAAGGATGAATGAGGCTGCTGCTGTGGCGGCAAACACATGAAGTGAGTGGATGGGCTAGCCGCAGGGGCTGGCCCCTCATTACGTCCAGCTGTGTGGGGATATTCCTATACGAATACTCCCATCTCTAGTCATTACTACGGTTTCCTTAGAGGTGCAGTTTTCTGATTGAAAGAAATAGGTCTGCTGAATGCTGTGAATGTTGTTGGCTTCTTCTTCATTTATTTATATGATGGCTTCAATTTTTCTCTGAAGTTGTTGGTAAAGATAGTGTTTATTTTCAGAATTTTTATGCCGGAGTGTTCTTATACTGCAAAAAGTAAGGAAATGTCCAGGAAAAAAAAGTATAGTAATAGTGTGCCCATGTTTTGAGTCAGGATGGATGGTTTCATCTGTGGTCTCCATTTTTGTGCTTGTTAGATTAAACCTTCAACCATAGCTCTTTGCTGCAAACCAAAGAGTCATAGGGTGAAATTCTGTTGCTTAGTATAAGCCAAATTGTAATTTTTGATTTGTTCCTCCCCGGATAATGGTCCGTACTGCTGTAGTTTTCAGTGGTGCATGTGCATGCTGGCTTGGTGCATGCACATGTAGATCTTAAGAATCATGCAGGGACACTTTGTTTACTGGAAAAGAGCAGACTGAAAGTTACGATTTGGCTTACACTAAGCATCAGGACTTTGGCCATAAACTCAGAATTTTGGAGCTGGAAGGGACTCCAATTGTCAAAAAGTTCAACCCCCTGCTGAGGCAGGCAATCCATGGCTAAAGTGTCCCTGACAGATGGCCACCTAACCTCTGTCTAATAACCTCCAATAAAGTATCATCTGAGGAACTCTGTGGCACTGTTGAGCAGCTCTTACAGTAAAGGCCAAATTTCCTTTCTCTTTGGTCCTACTCTCAGGAGCTACAGGAAAAAATGTAGTTCTGTTTTCCACATGACAGCCCTTTTGATATTTGAGAATAGTTATTGTATTGTTTCTCAGGTTTTCTCTTCTCTGGGTTAAACCTACCTAAGTCACTCAGTTGGGGTAGGTTTCCAGATATTTTACCATCGTACTCTGGACATGGTTCAAGTTGTTGCTATCCCTCATAAACTGTGGTGCCAATAAATGGACACATTATTCCAGGTGAAGCCTAACTAAAGCTGAATGCAGTTATACTGTACTATTATTTCCTTTGAGCTGGATAGTGTACCTTTGTTGATGCAGGCTAGTGTTGCATTTGCTTTCCTTGCTGCTACATTACAGTGGGATCTTGACTTAAGAACGGCTTGAGTTAAGAACATTTTGACTTAAGAACCACTCTCATAGGAAAATATTGACTTGACTTACTTAGATTTGAGTTAAGAACTAAAAAAAACCACGTGGGAGGCAGGGAAAGTGCAAAATTTGAACTTTCAGTTAACTGTTGGCCAGTGAAAAGGGTGCCTGTCTGCTTCCTCCCTCCTCCCAGCGTTTAGAGAGTGGATTGGGAGACAGTCTTCGGACTGCCTGGTACTGGACTGCCTGGACTGTATTTTCCCTGCCTTCCCTGAACTTTTCTTGACCTAAGAAACAAAATATCCCCCTCTAGCGGTCGAAGGCGGAATAGCAGCTTCCCAATAGTTTCTATGGACGGAAAAGAGCAGATACGGATCAAATGGGTTTCAATGCATTCCTATGGGAAATGCAGATTTGACCTGAGAACTTTTTGACTTGAGACCCGCCTTCCAATACGGATTAAGTTCTCAAGTCAAGACCTCACTGTACACTGTTGTCTCATGCTTAGCTTGTGGTCATTTAAGACCGCTGGATCCTTTTCATATGTAGTACTGCCAAATACACTGTTACCCATCATATATTTGCTCATCTGACCAGATGCAGAACTTTAAATTTTTTTCTTTTAAAATTCAGTTTGCTTTGGCTCAGCTCTCCAATCTGAAAGGGTTATCTTGAATCCTGATTCTTTCTTCTGAAATATTAGCTACTCTTCCCAGTTTGGTGTCATTTGCAAACTTTGTGAGCCTCCTCTTCACAACTCCAGTCAAATCACTTAGAAAGATAGTGAAGAATATTGGGCTAAAGATAGAACCATGTCGAATCCCACTTGCCACTTATACAGTGGTGCCTCGCAAGACGGGTGCTCCATTTAACAACGAATCCGCATTACGGCGAGGTTTTTGCGATCGCAAAAGCAATCACAAAACGACATTTTGAATGGGGGAATTTCGCTGTGCGATGATCGGTTCCCTGTTTCGGGAACAGATTTTCGCTTCCTGATGATCAAAACAGCTGATTGTCGGGGTTTCATAATGGCCGCCGGGTGCTCAAAATGGCTCCCCGCTGTGTTTAGGAGCCATTTTCCGCTGCACAGGCACCTGAAAATGGCCGCCCCTAAGGAGGATCTTCGCTGGACGGTGAGTTCTTAGCCGCTTGGAACGCATTAACTAGGTTTTAATGCGTTTCAATGGCTTTTTTATTTTCGCTTTACGATGTTTTCATCGTAACGTTTTCATTCTACAGCAATTTCGCTGGAACAACGTTGTAATGCGAGGCACCATTGTACCCAGAATTTCAAGGAACCTTTGGTGAGCATTTTCTCTGTGGCTCGACAACAAGTTTCAATTCCATATGACTGTTACCAAAATTCCACAAGGTTGAGCACTTTGACTCCTATGCCAGCTGTTCAAGTAGAAATATCAAAAATGTCCACAAAATACACAGCCCCCCTGTTAGATGATTGAGACAAGGTCTGGTTTTAAGTACCAATAAACTCTCTTAATCCAAAATTACCAAAACAGATGTAAAATGTTATATTTTATTAAAGGTGGACAAAAAAGTAAAAAAGAACACAGCTTGCAAATGGTTTCAAAAGTTACAGAAATAATCAAAATGCTTGGAGCAAAAGAGCATTCAAAAAGATCTGAGGCAAGTACAATTCCAGAACAGTTCTACAAGAAAATAGGAAAGGTAGTGGGCCTAAGCTATTACTTACATTCTGGTAGAACTTCAACATAGTTCTCAAACATATGCAGAGTGCAAGTCAGGCACCTGGGCAACGGATGAGCATAGCGTCCTGCTAAGATATAATTAAGCTAAAGTAAATAACATCTCCCTGTTTTCTATATCCAACATTCCAGTTTCTATATCCTTCAAGGAGATCCACCAATCAGACATCAAGTTGCCCTGAACCTTCTCAAAGAAAGATAAACTTCTGTCACCCCCTTTGCTTCAGCTGAAATCATTCTTGTTAATTAGCTCTGTACCAAGGAGTGTGCTCTGGCCTTGGAGCTTTGGTTCTTACAGAGATAAGGCACAAATTCTGCAGCCTTCCGATTAACAGTGGGCATTTTCTTCCCCTTCTCCTAGACAGGCACAAACTACAAAGCCTGTGTTTCAAAAGGGCTATCAACGCGAAGATCCAATGTTTTCTAGTTCCTACTTGCGCTAGATTGGGCATTGTTTCCTTTTGGGAGAAGACACTGTCATGAGACAGCCCCAGGGGGTGCAGGTGACAAATGGTTCTGGTATTACCAAGGATTAATTTGTAAGGTTTCCCACAGAAAGCAGGGCTAACCAAGTTGTCAGATTTTCACCAAAGACAGAGGCAAAGTATGGTAGATGTTCAGCAGTTTTGCCTTCTCTCTATCACCCATTAGTATTCCTCAGTCTTCTTTCATACTGTGAACGTAGCATTTCTTTGTTTCTCCTCCTGTTCCTGGCATAGCTGCAAAATGCCTTTTTCTTGTTTTTAACCTATTTTGTAAGTCTGTACTGTAAACTTAAGAAGCCTTAGCCTTCCCAGATATATTTGTAAATATTGGCTACCTGTTTGTTTTCTTCCTTGATGATTTGCCACCTCTTATTCCCTATACATGAGACATTTAAATCCTCTGAAAAACTCTGTATGTTATGTGATTTCTAGATGTTTCCCACTTAATTTTTTTACAGG